TTTATGTCTCATAAAACTTCATAAACGTTCAAAGGAATCAAGAACCCACCGCAAATCGGAGATTCCCAAGAGGAGGTTCAGCGTACGGAATTCCGCGGAATATTTGAATATGCCGGCCATCGATGTTGTAGATTTTTCCTCGAACCAGTCCCTGTTCGACCCATACCGATCGGGATTTCTCGAGTACTTGACCAAGTGACGGTGGAACTAGGTCGAATAACAGCAACACCAGCAGCAGCAGCGGCTGATTCACTGTCGGGATGAGCATCTCCAGCGGTGAAACACGTCACTCAACGGATCGCTGGCGCCATGTGCCGCCAGTCGGTCGCGATGTGTGTGTGTTGATGAGGAACAATGCCGACCAACTGACGGGGCCCAATTACACACGGCTTGCTCAGTGCTGTAAAGAAGCCGAAGAAATCGAGTAGCCTTTAGAAGATCTTCTAGTCTAAAGTTGCACGTGTGGCGAAGCACATGGTTTTCATGGTTGGTTTGGGCGGCCTGGGCGCACGCATGTGTTAACTTGTGGTGTCACAGTGTTCAGTTCAGGGATGGGCGAAGAACGGTCAACTGGGCTAAAGACGCTCCTCCACTTGCAGCTCAAATCCCATCTTGGTCCATAGAACATTCATCTCACAGTGTTGACCACATGCTTCCAAACCTCTCGTGGTTCCGAACTGAAAAATGATGAACTTTGCACAATTGCGACGTGCATGTCTTCCAGTCGAGTGAAAGAGACTTCCCAAAGCCTAGTAAGAGGAAGTGTCTGACCAGCCGAATGATCTTATCATTTTTCATGCTTTCGGCTAAAACAAGGCTACATTTCATGGAACAGGTAGGCTGTTGTATACTCGTGACTTGAACGCGCTAGAAATATGCTGTGTATGAGGCATTTCCCAAGCGCTTATTAATCTTATGATCAATTTTGCAGAGTGGCAGGTGCTTGACTCAGGGCCTGCGACCTCATCAAACGTCCTATGTAGTAACCTTCAGCATCCATGGGAGCTACGCCCTGATGGACTCTGTATAGCTGATAAACGAATCCAACTCAGTACGCATGTAAACGGAGGTGTCCTAATAAAAGGAACTCAGGACTGCTCATGAAGTGGAGAATTATGAGATTACAGCGCTCTTTTTCTCACAGGGTTTCTGGTTCTCTCTGAAGAAGAGAACAAACTGATATCTAATTTGAAGTTGGATTCTGAAGTTATTTCATGCCAACTAACTTCTAAGCGGGAGTCTTGTTATCGAAAAAATTACAAAATACTGATGTACGCATAAAGGGAGGGGTGCTGTAGAAAGCAGCCAATGTGGCTGTTGAAGGCAAGTGTCAAAGGCCACGGGATGAATGTGATGGGTAGTATCGCTCAAAACTGAATATGGGGCAGCCGAGTGGGCTGCAAGTTAGGAAAAAAGCAAAAAACAACACGAAAACACTGGGAATTAAGAACCCAACCTTTCTGTAAGGTCAGTGTGAACGATGTAGATTCAGAGCGAGCAGAGAAAACAGAAAACGCGAAAGAGCACACCGTATGAGAAGGCGTAGGCGGCTGTAGTGGCCACCTCCAGACAACCACCAGTGAGAGCCGGTAGCCCGTGAATCAACCCTAGCCCTTAAAGCGTTCTCTCTCGCACTGTCAAAGCTACGTTGGGGATTACTTTACAGGTCTTATCCCAGGGCTTGCCTTCAAGAAAACAAGGAAAACATTGAATAAAAGGACGAAAAACACATGACAGCTCAATTCAGTAGAAAAGTGGAAAGCAAGAAAATGTGGAGTTCCTCCAGGATTCGTTTTTTGTAATGGCTGGACAACTTTCTGGCGACAAATTGAAAGCTATGTTCTATCTAATGGTAAGGTTTGCTTCTGTTGTTAATAAATGATGAGATGAAATTTACCACCCTGCTGGCACGAGTCGAGATTAGGGAGCTATGGTAGCGTGTTTTGAGGCTCTAACCCCACTCTGAGTGTGTTGAGTAGATTTGACAGTGTTCGATCCTTACGTAGAACTGCAATCATTTCATCGATAGTCTATCGACTTTGTAAAGTTCTATGCATTTTGAAGGTCTTCCGAAGGTCATAAACCTCAAGTGCTTGCACTGTAGCTCTGTGCTTACAGCCGTGTTATGTTGGCATGGACAAAAGTCTAGTTCTATGAAAATGCGGACCACAATAGGAGGGAATATGTATTGCAGGGCGGACCAAGATCTTAAGCAGTTTCATGTTCAGCACTGAAGTAAGGAGGAAATTGCTGCTTAGAGCACCAATTGTCTGCCCTTTTGACTTTTTTTGGAGTCTTCCGGGCAATTTCCTCCTGGACTTCTGGCAGCCATTGTTTTCAGTCCGTTGCTAAGAAGGCTTTCGTTCGTTGATGCGTTTTTAGCCATCTTACAGGCCCGCATCTCCTTATAATATTTTTTGTACCAATATTACGACAGTATAGTAGATGTGGTATTTAGCACAACACTCTCGACTTCAATTCTTCAATTATCAGCCGTTTCGTAATCCTTTGTGTTTGACTTGATCCTAGTTTCCGTAACTTTGTAATTATTCGACCCCACTTAGACAAAGGAAGGCTGCTAGGCCGTGCGCAGGAACCTGTGATTCGATTCCTGGACCACGTGATAGTGTTGTCATTAGCTACTGCCTCACTTGCTCTGGTAGGCCTTCTTCACACCTTGAAACGACCAAAGAATAGTGTCGAGACACTCTAGTATGTACATTTTACTGGTCAGTGAGTGTGGCTTCAAGAGAGGTGATTTCCCAATTCTTCGCTCCCAAAAAGTGTCAAATCCCAAAATTTTTGAAAACCACGGGATTAGGCTCACTAATAGGAATCGCGCTGCGGGTGAACTTTCAGGGTCCGAATCTATAGAGGTCGGGCCAGCTCGTCAGTCGAAATGCGCGCTTAGAGCGCTGATAATAGAAACTTGCAACCATCGCAACTCTCCCCACCCACCGCGATTGATGCACAGATCAGCGCGCTCTCTCGTGCGGCATGCTCTCTCGTGTGTTTTGCCTTCCCAGGTCAAACCGTTTTTACATCGCTCCACATCCGACCTTACCAGATTTCCAATTTAATCCGTCACTTTTGTTTATTATTTTTGTCGCTCCATTACTCCGTCGCTCAACCTTCCCTACGGAAGCGCCTTTATACTCCAGTTGCTGCCCGGGGTTTATCTCAAAGCCCCAAAACTGCGCGACTTTTCTTCGAATGGGGCACTCTGCCGAAAGCGTTATACAAATTGTGGTGGGATATACATGTATGTAGCGCTAATAGTCAAATGGTTAAAGGAATCTTTCACGAAAAAATCATGATTCTATTTCAGCCATAAATCACTGGCTTGAGACTCATCCACGATAAGAATGAAAAGAACAGAAAAATTGCATTTGTTTTGGTAAAAAATTCGAAAAATCGAAAGGGCTGCTACGCGTTCAAAGTACCGCCGGACATCTTTCACAAATGCTGGCGACGGGGATGCTTCCACTTGGTTCTTGGAGTGCCTTCACTAGAACTCTTTCTGGCCTTCTGCTTTATTGCATTCACATCTCACACTTCTACTCCATCCTATTCTATCGATCGATTTGTCTCTACTCTCCAAAATCGCGCGCTTTAACCCGATTCTTTCATTGCGTCGCCTGATACGTAGCCGCCCCAAGGCGGACTTCTTTCCATGCCCGCCTTTGGCTCCGCGCCACTTACCTTCGATTGTCCATAGAGTGTGGTTTTTGTAAGTTTGTTTCTCTTCGGAAACTGAATCTTTGTGCGTGAAACTTTGTATGTTGTTTCTAGTGATCACAACTGACATATGCGTGTTGGGAAAGAATGCAAGGTTTTTCCGAGAAGGGTTCCTTTAAATTTCTTATGGTAGCTATATTTCTAATAATAGCTATTATCAACATTGTTTGATGGAATACCCGTATGGCCGTCGTGTAGTATGCAGAAATGAATTTTACGACCACCAATTCACCAGGAAACATCACTGACTTCTAGCAGGGCAATTACTTGTCTGGCCACTCATAGGTAGGATATTACTATATTAATGATCGACAATAAGGCTCCTTGAAATGACATTCAGACAAGAACTGGCAATATTAGGCAGGCATGTCCTTCTTACTTCGGAATGACTTCCTCTGTCATTTCCTGGCAGACTCAAAATTCGCTGGGGACTTCATGTCAAAGTCAAGCAATGGACGTAGAGCGGTGCCGGCAGCTTCAATTTCCTCCCTTTTTTCCCTCTCTTCCACGATGTTTCTAATGAAGTGGCGGATTGGTTCCGAACTTATTTCAAGAACTAGCGGATAGCTCAAGAGGGCATGACCTCCACAAGGCATTTCGAAGACGATAAGAAACGTCTGAGTACTGTCTATTTGTTCTGAATGGAAATCTTATGCGTATTTTTTTTCGTAACACGCCATGCGATCTCTAGTGGTTGCCCACTGCTATCCCCTTGAACTGCAACAATTTTAAGATGTAATTCCCACAGTAGTTTCCCAAATAATTGTAACGTCACACTATCTTTAGGTAGGGCTCAAAACATCTAGGGCAAAAAAATTTCACAAAGTTGTCAATGCTCCTTCAGCTTCAGGTGCCTTAGGTATCATATAACAAGCAAGGTATGTATTTCTTCATGTCGCGGTAATCTGATCCTAAGCCTTCTTGTATTTGTGAAACCTTTCACTGTTTTTTCGTTTTCTTGTTGTGGAATGGTACTTTTACTGAAACCACCTAAACAGAAGCTACAGCTTCCACATTGTACTATCTCCGAGAGTGGTTTAGAGGCAAGCTCTCGGATTAACCCGACTACCAGTAAGGATACCGCGAGGAAAATTGTAGGGTCCGTACCTTTATAGATCATGCCAGCTTCGTCGCAAAATTGCGCGATTAGGGCGCTAATCCTTACGCCTGCAACCATCGACCCCGTTGCAACGCTCCCCACCCACCGCGATAGATGAAGAGATCAGCGTGCTCTCTCGCATGTTTTTTCTTCTTTGATCGCCCTGTCTCGTCGTCGTACCACATCCCACCTAAGCGTCGAGCTCAATTAAACGTTTCCCGATAATTTCTCTTGCTTTCTTTCTCACTTTCATTTCATTTGGCAGCTCAATCACCACTACCAAGCGTCTCATTACCGGTTTTATCCCTTAAAGCCACGAGTCAGGATTAGGCAACCAGCAGAAGTTCTTCCCAGGGTGCGATAGTGGGCTCCCCAAGCACTGAGGGCGCGACACTATCGCGACCCAAAAGTGCGCGGCAATGGCGCTAAGG